GTGATTGTGAGCCGGGGGCCTGTTGTCAGAAACAAAATTAGTCCTAACATTAGTCTTAACATTAACAATTTCTCCTAGACCGTCGACATCACTTTGTTTTGTATTGTTATGAGGAAATCTGCTACGATTTTTCATTCTCGTAACTTCGCGGTGTTTCTGTCGACGGTCTACGAGAAAAGGTTAATGTTAAAACTAATGTTAAGACCAATTTTGTTTCTGACAACGGGCCCCGGATGTTTCCGACCGAACGCGTGCGCTGCTGTGGCTTCCTGTCTGACGAGCCTGGTAGAGAGCTGCTCAGCCTCTTCCCTAGCTCATAGAGACTCAATCTCATACTCATACTCTGACTCAGACGTGCAAAGCTTTAGTATCACTCTTCCTGACCACGAAGAGTCGATCGCTCCGAGCGAACAATCCCAGAATAGGTGAGCAATCAATAGTCAGGTATTTGCGCAGCTATAGCTTTCTGTTGGTTTCACCTTCAGTAGCAATATTTAAGTAATTAATCTTATTTATTAATCTTATTAATTAATAATCTTAGTTATTAATTAATTTAAGTTATTAATCTTTAGTAGATCGTGTCGAGTTTATCGAATGTCAAGTATGAGTTCATGTTCTCTTGACTATATTCTAAGGTGCAGACTTAATTAATGCAGTGTGTGTACGGGTCATTGAAAACCAGAAAAGTCCTGCAATTTTAAAGTGATATTATATGTGTTATTCCCAGGCCTGGAAAGTCATGGAAAATGGCCTGTTATCAGGTTTTGAGGCCTAGGAAGTGGTGGAAATCACCGTTCCTGCTCCCTGCTACACCTCCCTTTTCCACCCTCCCCATCCCTCCTCCCACCCACTGTCCCTCCTATGTTACAGACATGCTGAGCAATGTCTGAGCTGCGATCGACTGCGGGGATGTTTCACGCCTGTCTAATTATCCTGCTGCTGTCGTTTACCTGAACGTGATTGCCAGGTAGAGCCGGCTCATCCGTGCCACCTAACACACCCCGGGGAGAGTCTTATCACATTTCTGCCGTGATGGGCCATGCTACTGCTGCTGCTGCTGATACTGCTGCTGCTACTGCTACTGCTGCTGCTGCTGATACTGCTGCTGCTGCTGCTACTGCTGCTGCTGCTACTGCTGCTGCTGCTGCTGCTGCTACTGCTGCTGCTGCTGCTGCTGCTGCCTGCTACTGTGCTGCTGCTACTGCTACTGCTGCTACTACTACTGCTACTTCTATCTTTGCTGCTTCTGCTGCGCTGCTACTGGCTAAGCAGCTACTTCTACTGCTGCTAACTGCTGCCCTGCGCTACTGCTTCTGCTACTTACTGCTGCTACTGATACTGCTGCTGCTGGCTGCATGCTGCTGCTACTGCGCTGCTGCCTGCTGCTGGCTACTGCTGCTGCTGCGCTGGGCTTGCTGTTGCTGCTGTTGTTGCTGCTGCTGTTTCGCTACTAGCTGCTACGTGCTGTTGCTGCTGATTGCTGCTGTTGTCTGCTGTTGCTGCTGGCTGCTATCTGGCTGTGTGCGCTGCTGCTGTTTGCGCTGTGCTCTGTTGCTGCTCAATCGATGGTGAGTCCGACGCTCATAGCATGGTTTCATCGGCACAGGAAACTTTTGTTGTGGCGGCTTCATCTGCAGTTGATTAAAAACTAGTTGTTAATTTAATTGCAGGGTAGGGGTCATCGGAACTGTGATTAGCAGCTAACAGGACTACTCGTTGGCAGCGTTAGTAGCACGATGTTGGAAAGCGGTTAATTAGTACTAATTACACCGCTATGCTAAAAAGTTACCCTGGCGCAAAATCTTTTTACTTTTGAGTTTAACTCTGTCCTTGGCGGTGTGTCTGTCCTGCGCACACTATGTACTCACGTTTTGCATTGACTTTGCGGTTTACCGTGGCGTACGCGGTGACCACCACCAGACCCTGACCCTTAAATCGCATCACCACTAATACTTATCAATTCAAAGCTAGACACATGTACTCATAGTCTCATATCCACTGGCTGATATGCTCAACTCCCATTTTATACCCTCCCCACCACCACCGCACCCACATACCCTCCCCATCAACTCCCACCCAACAAATAACCTCCACACCACCATCCACCCAGATTACTCCCCACACCCCACGACCCACATACGCCTGGCCCACCAACCCCACGCCACATAACCTCCCAACCACCCCCACACCCATGAAACCCTCCCCATCACCCACACCACATACCGCTTCCACATAAACCCTCCCCCACCCACCAACACCCGACG